ATATGGCAGATAAATATAATACATGATCCTGGACCTTTCAAAGGACATTATTGGGAGAAGCAGCAAAATCTGATTAGGATCAGTAGATTAGAGAGTAACATGGTATCAATGTGAATTTTCTGATTTGTATGGTTGTACTGTGGTTATATAGGAGAATGTTCTTGTTTTTAGAAAATGCACACTGAAGCATTAAGGTGTGATGGGGCTTAATATCTTTAACTCTCTTGAATGGCTGAGAAAAAAACAAAATGTATAAATGCAGGGAGTGAGAGAACAATAACACAATATGGTAAAATATTAGTAATTGCAGTATCTGGTTGTAGAGTATACAAGAATTCTTCAGACTCTTTTTGCCACTTTCCTATCAGCTTCAGGTTATTCAAAATAACATGTTAAAAAATGTTTGGCTGTAATACGTCAACTAAAGACAGAAAAAAATGCCCAAATCCCTGGGAATAGGGAAAGAAAGAAATTTTAAAGCAATGAGAGGGTGATATGATCAATTCATACATTGGACAGATCATCAATTCATCAGAAATTTCCATCTGACTTTGAACAGAAGCTTCCCAACTTTCAACAACATGTGATTCAATTAAGGAAAAAACAAAATTGAACCTTGTCAAACAGAAAATACTAACGAAACCATGATGTACTTCAACACGGCTCAAAATAACTTCATCAATGTTAAAGGAGCTAAACAGATCAAAATTACAAGCAAGAGTTATAAAAAGTAGCATATGACTATGATGTCATGTGTATTGCCAATGTCCTAGAGTTGCCATTATATTTAAATTTAAACTAAAAATTATTTACCTAAGAAGGGGGCAAATCTAGGTATTATTGAACTCCAAATTTATGCAATTTGTAGATCCCTATCTAGAAAAAAGAATACAAAATTATATACAACAATTAATATTTATTAAGAAAGACAAAATAAATTATGGTAAACTACAAATTTTAAGAAGCTGAGAAGTATAAAAAAAAGACGAATGTTTTTATAAAGTAGATGCTTGGCATGGCTTTTTCATGCTTTTCCCTATATTTTGTGGCTGCATATCTTTACCTTTCCATGTGACAAAACTCTGTATTATCATAATCTACACAGAGAAAGAAATGCGCTGTGCTAGTGAGAAGCCCTAACATTGAAACTTTATTGACTACAAGTGGATCTGTCACTGTCCATGGATAAAATGTTTCTCAAAGATGTTACTATGCTTGCAGAGAACATTGAAGGATGACCTCTGAGCTTATAAAAGGCCTAGATAAGTTAGAAATCCAGGAGCTATACGGAACCATCCAAGTATGTTGACCCTTGAAGCATTTTGTGAATATATAAAGGTGAATAGCTAAAGAATACACTTTTGAGACCTGATGGGACTTGGTTACTATTTACGTACAAGAGTGACACAGATAAAAGTCTATTGCTAACTAAGTTTAGAAGAGTTCCTTCAACAAGAATAAATAAAAATTATGAGCAATAAGAAGGCCTGGAGTTGGGGGGAGGTACATAAAATATTAGTACGTCTTACAATCAAGGGCTCCTTGGATTCATTTGGCAGTTTATTTTGTTCCCTTGCTTATTATGAGCAATTCTAGCTCACAATTCAAGGAATTTAGGACAACTAAAACAAAGTATTTATAACAAATAAAAATATACAGTGATTTAAAACCTCCCTGGGTTAGGGGCTGGATTAGGACCCATTAGGAGATTTAGGATCTGGTCTAAGTCGGGTCCCAGCAGTGGGATGGCATTCAAAAGCAAGCAGGAGCAGAAAGAGCCAGAGAATTATTTGATCTAAAGCCCTATGAAAGGTATAAAGTGAGAAAGCTAATTCTAGAGCAGGAGGAAGAAGGTCAAGAGTGAAGTCACATAGAACTTGGGGGACTGCCAGGAACAGGACTTAGAGCCCCAGTGTTGCCCTGGTTAAAGTCCCACATAGCTCAGCCTTCCTGTCCTAGTTCCTGAAAGAGCCCAGGAATGCAGCTAGAAATCATCTGCCATATCTAAGCAGTTGAAAGAATTGCACCTGTTTAATCACAAAAGGCAAAGCTAAAGAAGAGCTTGAATTATTCTCAGATTAAAGAGCTGCTGCCATGCAGAAAAAGGAGCAAATTTATTCCATATTTCCATGGAAAAACTAAAATCAGCATGTGAAATTTACCAGGAGACAGATTTTGAGTCCTTAAAGCAGGAACTTGACTGGAATTATTTGCCTTTGTTCACCTAGAAGAGTGCCTGGAACATCCTAAATTGCCAATGCTACTTGTTAAATTGATTAATATAAATAAGAAATGACTGTTCCGCAATTACAGTAATTTGATTATGGAATAGAACTTGATGATTCTTTCTGAGCTTTGGGTATTTTAATCAGGGATTTGACCACAATGACAGTCTTAGACATGAAATTGAACATGCACCAGGCACTATTCAAAGTGTCTTCCATATATTATTACATTTCATTCTCACAGCCACCCTTGAAGCAAGTTGTACTATTAATCCCATTTTACAGATGAGGCAACTGAGACACAGAGAGATTATAGTACTTGTTCAAAGTCATACAACAGAGTCAGGATTTGAACTCAGGGGACCTGTTTCTTGCCTCTCTGTCTTGCTATATCCCATTATCCCATCTGATAGAGAAGAGCTGGAATTGAGTCCAATATCGGATGAGAGGTTAGTTGAGTGTTCTCTTCCTACATACTATGATTCTCAGACCATGCTGGATATCAGCTTTTGCTAATGTCAGATCAATCACCTCGTTTTTGGCTAGTTTAATCTATGTTAGCAAGACCAAATATTTAGACATATTAAACAAAACACCAATAAGATGCCACAACACAAGATGCATGACACTACATACACAAAACAAATTGAATAAAAACTAAAATCTATTTTGATGTGGTGGGGGGGCTCTCCTCCAGGTCTTCAACTTTATCAAAAAGTAGCATTTATTTGTTTTCTTCAGTTTCCAAGAACTTGGAGAGTTCAGTGGCGCCAGCACAACCCCCATTAAAAATGCTCACTCAGCCTCGCCCACATGCCTAGCAACCTTCTGTTTATTCTACTACAGTCAATTCAAAGTCACAAGAATGACACAGGTTATAAATTGCAGGAGCACAGGTGATGTGTGCAGTGAGGCAGCCTGACTGAGAATGCATGCCCAGTGAAGAAAAATCACTCTGAAGAGTTCAGGGTCAATAATTATGCTGACAGGGAAATCAGCGAAGAGGCAGGTGTCCTGGATAACAGAACATATTTCTTAGCCAGGAAATTATATTTTAAATGAAGGTAAGAAAACATGCTGCTTTGAGGTTGCCAGGTAATCCCAGGAAATATAATGTAGGATTTGTTCCCAAGAAAAGGATTAGGGTAATAGCAATTATTGTGCACCTATGAGGTATTGTAGACTGTACCAGACATGTTGTCATTATCTAATTTAATTTCCCCAAAGACCAAGGTCACTCAGATAGTAAATGGCCGAGTTACAAATTGAACTCAGTTCCTTATGATTCCACATCTACTCTCCTCCTACTATATTAAGCTGCTCAATATATTGAGCAATATCTTGACAAATTTTGCCTTTAAGAAAGCATTCTGGTGGCCAGTGATGATGAGCATTTTTTCATATGTCTGTTGGCTGCATAAATGTCTTCTTTCGAGAAGTGTCTGTTCATATCCTTTGCCCACTTTTTGATGGGGTTGTTTGATTTTTTCTTGTAAATTTGTTTACATTCTTTGTAGACTCTGGATATTAGCTCTTTGTCAGATGGGTAGATTGTAAAAATTTTCTCACATTCTGTAGGCTGCCTGTTCACTCTGATGGTAGTTTCTTTTGCTGTGCAGAAGCTCTTTAGTTTAACTAGTTCAACCATTGTGGAAGACAGTGTGGCGATTCCTCAAGGATCTAGAACTAGAAATACCATTTGACCCAGTCATCCCATTACTAGGTATATACCCAAAGGATTATAAATCATGCTGCCATAAAGACACATGCACACATATGTTTATTGTAGCACTATTCACAATAGCAAAGACTTGGAACAAACCCAAATGTCCATCAATGATAGACTGGATTAAGAAAATGTGGCACATACACACCATGGAATACTATGCAGCCATAAAAAAAGATGAGTTCATGTTCTTTGTAGGGATATGGATGAAGCTGGAAACCATCATTCTGAGCAAACTATCACAAGGAGAGAAAACCAAACACCGCATATTCTCACTCATACATGGGAACTGAACAATGAGAACACTTGGACACAGGGTGGGGAACATCACACACTGAGGCCTGTTGTTGGGTAGGGGGAGTGGGGAGGGATAGCATTAGGAGATATACCTAATGTAAATGACGAGTTAATGGGTGCAGCACACCAACATGGCACATGTATACATATATAACAAACCTGCACGTTGTGTACATGTACCCTAGAATTTAAAATATAATAAAGAAAAAAGAAACTATTCTGATTTTTTTCAGGGTCTAATGCTACATAACATATCTGAAGTGGTTGTCTTTTGAAATCGTGCAGTCAAATTAATTTGTGGAAATGTTAAAGATAAGCATTATGGGATTATAAGCAGCTTCTTGATGGTACCAAAGCTGCAAGTGTCCCTGGACTTTTCAAGAAGTAAGTTGTGGCCAACCAGCATACTCAAGCTAGAAATGATGGAGATAGTGCTTAGCTCTCATCAGCTCTGCTGTAGTATCTACCTTGCAGATTGAGATGTGGGTCTCTGTAGACTGAAACCCGCATCACTCCAGAAATTAATTCCCGATTATGTGATGAAGGAACCCAACAAGGAAACACAACTGCAACAGAGAACCTTAGGCAAATATACTCATGAAGACAGAACTGAGGGGACCTAGGACTGCCATAGAAGGCCAGCTTTAGCTAATGCAACCTCTGATGGAAGGAGAGTGAAAAGTTTGGATATTAGACCATTAGGGAGAAACAAAAGTTACATATTAAGAAAAGAAGATTCCAAAGGTACATACCAGCTGTCTTCAGAGTTCTCTGTAGCTGTGGAAATAAAGCAGGGAGCAGGGATTAGATGCATTAGAGATTCATCTTTCAGGCCACCAAAGAAATAACTTCCTAATAATCAGAGCCAACTGAAAACTGAATGACTTGTGTGAAGAAGTTGGAAGATCTCTGTTAATGAAGGTGTCATCTCTCTCGGTTAAAATGAGAGCGAGAACAAAAAAGAAACAACTTAGCCAAATTGCCATTGCTATGGGTACTATGACGCTGTCACATAATTCTTGTGTTTATGATTCTCTCCAGTGCCTCCTATCTTTCTCTTTAAAAGACAAAAAAAAAAAAAAAAAAATCATAAAAATAAAAAAAAGAAAGTGAAAGCAGTTCTATATATCATCCCAAAGAAAAAAAAAAAAAAAAAAAAAAAAAAGACCTACAACAATCGCTCCATGTTTGGAAAATTATCTTTCCTGACTTTTCTGTTAGTAGAATGCAGTAAGGATACTGTTCACAGTAACTTCCCCAACTAAGATCGGATTATGCTTCTTTCCAGTCACCCTATTTGGCTCCCATACTCATCACTTCATGGCATGTTACTTTTACCAGCATGTCCGTGGCTTACCCAGAAATGCAACACATTGGATTTTGTTGTTCTATAACAGCTGTGGGAGAATCAAGTGTAGACAGCAAAAGTTAGAACACAGATCATGATAAAATATCCCCCTTACCAATTATATATTGTTCTCTTTGGACCACTATTTTCCCTCATCCCTGAATTTACTCATTGTCAGTTTCCAGATAATACTTTTCTTTGCTTTTCAGATTCACTTTGAGTGTATACGTCAAAATTCTTGGGCTAGGTCCTCTGGCCTCCATTGCTGACTCTTGTTGCATTACCACTTTTATATTCAAGGAACCATGGAATTTCAGAGCTAGAAGAGAACCTGGAGATCATTTACACCAAATGCCTAATTTTATGAATGGGAAAACTGAAGCTACTAGAGCTGATATGATTTGCCCAAGGTCATAGGATTAGCAGCATAACTGGAACCACTGTTTTAATGTGTTGACCTGACTTCCCTGTCATAGGGATGTTGTCCATTTTCAGCTCTGGGCACTAATGACATCTAAGCTACCCTAACACTTGCCATCTGATCATTTCCTCTATTGAAGTCCCAAGCAACCAGGATCTGGCTGATTCATCTCTTAACACAGTAGGAAAAACACATATATAGACCTTTCTTCATCAAAGACAATTGCTCCTTTTGGCTGTGAGATCATTGTACAGAGGTACCAGTTCAATAAGAAAGCTTGTTTTGCTTTTGCACACTAAGATTAACATGTGTGTATGTGTGTGTGTTAAAGGAGAGATTTAAACAAAAGAGTAATATGAATGAAAAATCGTGTAAAATAAAGCAAAATTAATCATAAAAAGAAGACATTTTTCTTCCCAGCCACCACCTAAATTAAATATTTTGTGTTATTTATTAAAAATTTTATATACATTTGAACAAAAGTGACTTATTTTCTAAATTCTTAAAAAGAACAAATCTGGGATATCAAAAATCTCGAGCCAAATCTGTGCCATACATTTTTGTCTTTCATTTTGAGTTCCTAATCAGTACTAAATTGCTACAGATGGCACAGATATTGTCATCCTATAAACATCAGTTCATCTAGAGACCAACCAGCCCACAGCCCATCTGGAGGAAGAAAATAAACCAATATCCACTGTTTACCATCTATATGCTAGCCTCTTCCATATACATTATCTCACAGTAATCCCCACAATAATCCTGCAAGGTAGATATTGTTATTCCATTTGTTTTTAATAGAAAGAGGGAACTGAGCTCATATACTTCACAAATGGTAGAGCTAGAATTTGAGTGTAGATCTAGGTGATCTCTTTTTTTCTCTACATCATGCCATGTGTTACCCTCAAAGATCGCCAACATACCACAGCAGATTTGCTGAGCAGGAATGTGTCAATCATTAGAAAATGAGACAAAACAAGGAAAGGACACTGTGGAAACTGAGAAGAATGTCCAAATGGTTTGTGAGTCTAAGCAGAAGTAGTATCTCCCATAGCATGGAGGAGTTCCATTTTATTACTACTTGGACTGCAAAATGTGGCTTTTGTTGTAAGGAGACTGGATATCCCAAGTTCCCTGGCTTAATCATTACATATTATATAAATATATCAGAATATCACATGTACCCTCAAATATGTACTAGATAGATACATAGATTATACATATATTTTAGAAAACACAAGAAAAATTTTCAAAAGCATGTTCTCAAAATATGGTTTTTAGTGACTAACAGTCCACGTGAATAAGTGTACCATAATTTTAACTATTCCTCTTTGGTTGGCTCTTTGGGTTTTGGTTTAGATTTTCTGTGTTTGTTTTGTTTGTTTGTTTTCTCTCTTTTTTTTTTTTTTTGAGACAGAGTCTCACTCTGTCGCCCAGGCTGGCGTGCAGCAGCGCCATCTGATTACAGGCGTGAACCATGGGGCCCAGCCTCTTTGTTTCTATCTCAGTTTCTTCCTACTTTAAATAAATGCTGTTGTTAACATCCTTGTATGTAAATCTTCTCTGTAGTACTTTGGGCATTTTTTTGACCCCCACCTCAGGTCTACCCTCTTCTTCTAGAGTAAAAAACTGCCTATTTAAGTTTTGTCTGATGGGACAACTTGAACTTATGGGAAACTCGATAGTCCAGGACTGTTAGGAAGAAATATTATGAGGATGGAATAGGAAAAATCTCGGGCAGAGTAGAGATCAGCCTTATAAAAAGTCACTATGGGAAAAGCATTTGGAGGTCCAGGCACAGAAAGCAAAAAGGGTGCAGTAATGTCTTTGGTTAAATTCCAGAAACTAACCACATCAGAGCATTCCAGGTTGCAAGCAAGGCAGAGCCACAGGAAGAGGTCAGGACAGACAGTGGTAATCTTCTAAGTAGAAGATGTGTCTATGCATAGGGGCCAGCCTCAAACTGGGGCTATGGGAGCTGGCCAAAACCAAAGAAGGGACTGGCATGAGCTAGGCTAGATGCAGAGACCTAGCCAGCAGGTTAATCTGGGAAGGATATGTGTATCCTTCCACATATTTCTCTGTATATTTGAACAAAAATATGATAACTCTATACATCATATTCTGTGATTTGATTTTCTCATGTAATGTACTGGAGATGCTTTTCCATGTCAGTATATATAAAGCTAATTTGTTAGTTTTAATTTATGCACTAATTTTCATAGTATGGCTATAACAATTTACATAACATTTTCCCAACTAATGAATAATTTGATTTTTTTTCATTTTTTAAAAAATTCTACTTATACCAGCATTTTTCCTAGTCATCATCTTGCATCAGTTTGGCATTATCACTCCGAGACAGACATTAAAACATCTGATTTCCCACCTACATTGGTTGAAAATGATGATGGACCTGATTAATTAACAAAAAATGGAATCTAAGCAGAGGGAAGGAGGAGGAAAGGACACAATGCAAGTGGTCAGGGTGTTTTCATAACTTTCACTGACATATTTATTACACTTAGAAATGGTATGGTTCAGTAGAAAACACAGGTCTGAGGGGACTCAGGAGACCTAGGATTTGGGATTTTGCTATCACTTATTATCTCTTTTGGCCACAATCTCCTCTCACTATCTGTTGAAGATAACTGTATTAGACGACCTCCAACAGTGGTTATTCTATGGATTATTTAATGCAGATAGATTAAAATTTAGGTGTTAAAGGGGTATGTGTATGTGCGTGTGTGTGTGCGCGTGTCTTTGTTTATGAAAAAGAAAGAGAAGAACAATGAGAATATAAAACAATGAAGAGAAAGAAACAGTAACAAAGAAAAAGTACTCAATATCATTCGTATCCTGAACTTGAGACTCCAGTTCTCATGTAATTAATATTTCTAATGCTCAGGGAAATGGGTCTGTAAATAGTCTTTCTAGTATATTACATTCAAGTCATAAATACTTTCCATCATTTTTTAAATGTTGACTGGACAACTTAAAGGCATGTAACTTCACACCTATATTTGGATATTGTCAGACTTGCAGATTTTGGCTCTAATTTTATGGGAACTGAGGGATTCAATAATTAGCAGTAAAAAACCTACTTTACCCATCATATCCAAAGCTTTCCAATAGAAGAATAACATTAATGAAGACAATCTAAGTGAAAAGGAGGTTATCACCTAAATCCTTCTTGTTCTGAATAAAGTTTCATTGGTACAAAAACTTGAGATATCAGAAAAAAACATTTTTTTTCAAATCCATTGCCTGCAAAACCATTGTTCTTAACCAACACTGCTCCACTGCCGTTTGCGACCATATTGAAGGACTGAGTTTCTCTCTGGTTAATACATTTGTAGGTTGAGAGACATAAGAGCCAGCAATGATATGGGTGAGAAACTTGTAAAACTTGTATCATTTATTAAGTTTCCAGAAGCAATTACAGACTTCACTGAGGGACTGGCCTGAGCATAAATGCATTTCAGAACCTTCAGTCTGGCTGTTCACCCATCCTATTCTCCCCTTATGTACCACTCAAGTCTATACATATTTACCTCCTTTTTTTCCTCCCTTTCTTCTTTCCTCTAGTTGGTGTCTCCTTCCTTCATTCATTCACCATTTCCTCCACCATTTATTCATTCTGTTTAATCAAATGTCTTTTTAAGGGAGCATCTGCTATAACCCAGGCCCTGTGTGTGTGGTATTGGGGATGCCAAAATAGATTAAAATGATACTTGCCTTCCAGGGGTTCCCATCCCCATCCTCTACCTTTGTTCTTCTTTGTGTGTGTGTGTGTGTGTGTGTGTGTGTGTGTATTGGCTCTTCTTTTTCTTTCACTGTACTCTGTTGTCTAAGTTCAGTGGGCCCCTAGTATCTTCCACAAACCCTTCAAACCCATTTTCAAATCCTCTATAAGTCTGTAGCAGACACTAATTTATTTATTGCTTCATATATTTGTTTCCTATTGCTGTTGTAACGAGTGGCTGAAAACAACAAAAATTTATCTTA